GTCACCATGTTCAGAATGTGCCAAAATGTCGAGAAAACACGTTTGGAGAAAATGTCCGGATGCATGTGTGTGTGTGTGTGTGTGTGTGTATGTGTTTAATGGCCTCCCAAAATTCAAACGTGTATAACTCGAGATCGGTTTTAGCTACAGCCCCCCAATTTTGCAGGCATATGCAGCTCTATAATCTCTTCATTGACTATAATTTTCGTCATGATTCAAGCTGTGACTTAAAATTGATGTCATTTTCAAATTTCCAAAAAAAGGACGTTCGCACTCTAGCGATCGCAAATTTTGTGATAATGGTCTAAATAGTTCTTGACAAAGAGATACGTATCCAAGGTTGGTTGGTATTGCATTTGGACCGAATCGATCGAGAAGTTTTGATTTTATGATATTTTGAATTTTTCGAAAAATTAAATTTATCAATATAACTCTCATCAACTTTGACCGATTGAGCTCCAATTTTCGAAAAGTATAGAGCATCATTTAGCCGTGATATGTCTCAAATTTGGCGGAGATTGGTAAAACGGATCTGATTATACATATCTTCAAGTTTTCGAATTTCAGCCAATTCAAAAATATTAGGCCCGAAGAGATCATGCAAGAGATTTATCCTTACATGCGTTCTCTCAGTATAAAGCACCCCAAGTTGTGAGAGGCATGGGGACTCACGTTAAACAAGCTGCAAGTTGAAACTTGCAATTTGCTTCCTCCGAATCGTAAGTAGTGTACCAAGTCCCTATATGAGGATGCCAAGAATTTTAATTTTGCAATTTGCTTCCTCTGAATCGTGGGTAGTAGATGAAAATTCATCTATGAGGAAGCCAAAGATTTAAAAAAATGAAAATGCTTCCTCATATAAGGACTTCGTACACTACTTACGATTCGGAGGAAGCAAATTGCAAGTTTCAACTTGCAGCTTATTAAATTAATTTCAGCATTGTATTGCAAAATTGCAGTTGTGATCATTACTTGGAAATATCAAAATTGTGAATATTTTAAACTTTACATTATTTTAATTGCAATCTGTTTTGAAAATAAATTTTAACTGATATTACATTTTGTCATTACAATATTAATTAATTATTTCAGTAACCTAACTATTGAAATATTTCAAAAACCTTATTGCTATGCGAACTGTCAGTTTGCGCTTATGGGAATCGGTCACATGTAATTTTTTGAAGAGGCCACACTGCCGTGTCGGCCACTTGCGGGAAACTTCTGCTGGTGCGTTTCTACTGACTAACCCTGTATAAAAGCGGTATCTTTCATAATGAAACTAATTGGAAAAATTTCCTCACAATGAGAGATGAAAAATGTGATTTTCTCAAATTTGTTGAATATCTTTTAGGGGGGCAAACTACCCCAAAATTGTTTTTCATTATATAAAAAATTGCCAAACAGGAATAAATTCGAGTTAAAAGATTTGGAAAAAATATATGTTACTCGCGACAATTAAATAAAGTTTAAATGCTTTTTGCATTTTTGCGAAAAATTATTTTATAGGGGATAACCACCCCTAAGTACATTTTATTATTCATCTCTTAAATAAAATATATTCAAATATATCAAAATATGTTCACAAAAATAGTTTTTGTGAACGAAAATAACTGGAAAAATTTCCTCACCATGCGAGATCAAAAATGTGATTTTTTTAAATTTGTCCAAAAATTTTGTATGGGGCTGAACCACCCAAAAATTATTTTTCATTGAAGGTTTCATATTTCCGTAGAATAAAGAAACTTATATTACATAAATTTACATTATCAGAAGTACGCGTTACATTAGGAAAATGTGAATTACCAAGGAATTATTATAACAAATAGATTTATAAGACCAGCAAGCATTATCAGACCTTATTATTCATTGTATGTGGTACAGTAATGATGCTCTTTGAAGAAATTACACATACTTATTCCGGCTATTAATTTTAACATACGAATAATTTGGCCTGTAGAACATTTTCGAAGCTGGCTGGAGCACGTTTTCTTTCCGAACGTAGGACCGGCAAGTGTGTTACTCATAGACTCTTGGACTGAACACTGTCCAAAAGTTGTACGGCAAGCAACAACTGCTGGGAAGAATATTTTTCCCATGATTATACCAAAAGACACGACCGAAAAGATTCAGCCCCTTGATGTCTACGGATTTCGTATTTGGAAGAATTATGTGCTACATTTTTCTGATTCTGTTATACTCTTAAACTATGACATAAATCTGCACATGCGAAATAATATAATAAAGTTACAATCTTTACTACATAATCAATTATCATCACCAAGGTATTACAACCTTTTTAAATACTCCTGGTTTAAAAGTGGGTACGTCACAGAAAAACCAAAAGAATTTGAGAATCCAGTCGATTTTTCCTTCAAGACATTTTCCAACACATTGTGTGAAGTTCAAGGATGTGGAAATGTAGCTGTTATTAGATGTTCGTGGTGCAAAAAATCCTTGTGGTTTAAGCATTTCTTCGAAGAGTATCATTACTGTACCACATACAATGAATAATAAGGTCTGATAATGCTTGCTGGTCTTATAAATCTATTTGTTATAATAACTCCTTGGTAATTCACATTTTCCTAATGTAACGCGTACTTCTGCTAATGTAAATATATGTAATATAAGTTCCTTTATTCTACGGAAACATACCAAAAGTAAACTGCACTTATGGTGGTTTTGTTTAATGAAAAATAATTTAGGGGTGGTTCACCCCCCTAAAAGTTATTCGACAAATTTGAGAAAATCACATTTTTTATTTCTCATTGTGAGGAAATTTTTCCAATCGGTTTCATTGTGATAAATACCGCTTTTACATGTGAAGTAAATGGGTGTTTAGTACCCCAATTTTCGGGGGTGGTTTTTACCCTCAAAAATTCAGTTTGGGCCGATAAGAAAAAACACGTGTCGCTTAGTTTTTCGAGTACTGTAACATATGTGAAAACAAAAAAAATCGGAGGCGGACACTTACCAAGGTTTCCTTGTCAGTTCCAATCATCACCAGAAGAAAACAATAGCAATTACGTAAATGATACTGATATGAAGTTGCCACTTTTACGAAACGTCACATGAGGGTTACCACGTGTTGTAGAACCAGAAATTTCGCCACACTAAAAAGTAGTAAAGAAAAGTGTCGGGAGTTTGATTCTGTGAACGCATTCACTCAAGTAGAAACTGTCATATTATCATTAAGGTTGTGACGTGATTTTCGAATCACGGTCCCAAGGCGACTCCGTTTACCGATACAGATAACGTTCTCGATTTCTGGTTCCCTTCGGGTCGCCACCCTGCTCAGAAGCTACGCTCTCGGGTTGATTAGTACAGTTATGTTAAAGCTCTCGTAAGATTTCGTTATTGTTTAGTTGAGGTCGAGGTGCTCGAATCTGCCGTGGGGAGATAGTCTCGACGTACCGAGTTGCCCGGCAGAGGAGAGTACCCGACGGAGACATCTCCACGGACCGGAAGGAGCCCGGGTGAGATACCGGCGCCCCGCTGGAGATGGGCAAAGGGCTGTAGAGCGGGCGGAGGAAGTTTTGATATGGTTAAGGGCAGGAGAGGAACCTCCTGCCCGAGTTGAGGATGTGGTGCCCAGCTGTCGCCCGATGCTCTCGGGAAGCGGCCGTGGAGGATCTCCAAAGATTATGTACCGATTCGTTAAGGAACGCTCTCGATTTGGTTTAAAGGGACGACTCGAAGGAGATAGAAGAGTTGTCGGTTATAAGGCTCTCGACCAATCAGAATGATTAGTTCTCGGATTTGGC